GTTGTTTGGCGGGCCCGGGCTGGGGATTTGAACCCGCCACCTTAGGTGTATGTGGCTGGCGCCTTAGCCGCTTGAACCACAGGCGCCGAGCCCTTTTTTACTTTTTATTAGGACTGATGGTATTATTTTAGTATCAGGAGAAAAAAATGGACCCTTAGTCATATACTTTTATACAAATTCAGTAGAAAAAAATAGTAACTAGATACTACGTTTTGTGTATACACTTCAGCAAGCAATCTAAAACCTTCATAGTACATAAAAACTTTTGGTCTAATTTTCGCAAACATAGCTGAAATAATTCAAGTATATGCAAAACATGGAGTATGATTCTGAAAAAAGATTTTTGGGGGGGGGGACAGAGCCTCAAGCTGTCACCCTGGGTAGAGTGCTATAGCATCACAGCTCACAGCAACCTCCAACTCGTGGGCTCTAGCAATTCTCTTGCTTCCACCTCCCAAGTAGCTGGGACTAAGTACCTGACAATTTTTTTGTTGCAGCCATCATTGTTGTTTAGCGGACCCAGGCTGGATTCAAACCTGCCAGCTCAGCTGTTAATGTGGCTGGCACCTTAGCTGCTTGAGCCACAGGCACCGAGCCATAAAAAAAATATTTTCTAATAAAAATTTAAACATTCAATGTCTAAGTTCAATTCTAAGTCTTTAATAACACTAGCTACAAATTACCAGTACCATCCCTCCTTTAAAATAATTTTTAGAGATGAATATAATCACAGCTCACTGCAGCCTCCATCTTCTGGGCTCCCCTGCTCCTTTGGCCTTAGCCTCTCAAACAGCTCTGACTACAGGCCCAAGACGCTGGGCCCAGTTAGTGCCTTTTCATTTATTTAAAACAAGGTCTCAAAATGTTGCCCAGGCTGGTCTAGAACCCCTAACCTCAAGCGATCCTCCTACCTTGGCCTCCCAAGTCTCTGGAATTATAGGAATGAACTGCCTCCTGGGGCTAGCATCGCTTTCTTTTCTGAACTGCTGTCCTTGCATACAACAGAAACTACTGAACCAGAATCAGCCAAGAGGAGGCAAGAGTTAATATAAAATACTAATCAAACTCATGTGGTGAGACAAAGTAGTTATTTCACTATTCATAATAGTTTCCTATTAGCAAAAGCAAACTCTTACGTAGAGGCCAATTAAAAGAAGATTAACCTAGTACTGAAACAATGAAACACACACATCGAAAGTTACTATGAAGAAAGTTCAGTCAAAGGCAGACACTTAACACAGGGCTTTAATGTAACACCATTTAGTAACGTGACAATTTGAAAAAAAAAAAAAGTGAGTATTTTGTAGATAAGAAAAACTGAGAAACACATCTGATGGACAGTGAGCATTTTACAATGGGACAGGTAACCAGCATGTAAAATCATAAGCGCCTTTTTAAGAGCTGAAAACTGCTGGTCATTCATTAACATTTCAGACATTTAATCACGATGCTACACCTTCAACAAAAACTGAAAAAAAAAAAAAAAAGAACCAAGAAGAGCCATTGTTTTTATTCTGGACAAACCTTACTAAACAAGGAGAGACAATGAACACTTATGATTTAAACCTAATGATTTAAGCTCAGCTAGAAGAAAGTGAGGCATGAAATTTAACATAAATAAAGAGTTTTAGAAAGCAGATTTCTGGAAATGCAATGATCCTCTACATTTGCTTCAAGGAGAAACCTACAGACATATTTTCAGGTTTTGTTAAGTAACAACTGTTTATTTGCACTCAATATGTTTGGGAAAGTCTGCTACATAGCTAAGGTCACTGTGACCACAAACGAATGAAAAGAAACAAGCACTGAAGAGCAAAAAAATGCATCCAACCCAAAAAAGGATTTAAGTAGATCAGTTAAAAAAAAAAAACAAAACAGTAAAATAAATGGGTACGGCTTTCATCTTTTACAAATATACCTCCTCCACAACATCTCCCCAATATAAACACTGTGGAGTGTTTATATATTCAGTGCAAGGAACAGTATCATCAGTACATGTAAAACACCTCTGAGGAAAGAATAAAGCTAAAAATAACATGTAATTCTGAATACCTTTCAGTGTGATATTATTACACTATAGTGGTATGGGAGAGGCTCTGATAGCACCCATGTGCATTCCACATGAAAAACAAACTTAAGATCACTTTTTAAAAAATTCTACAAGCCACGTTAAAAAAAAAATTTGAACAGGACTGCTTTATTGTGTAATTTAAGACACAAATGAATTACATGAATTGCAAATGAAGGCTTAAAATATTTAGCAGCTACAAAAATCATGCTATGTGTCACTCCTCCCATAAATACTTTTAGCCTGTGTACAGTCAATTCTGAATTGGTTCACCTCTGAATTAAGACTTCTAAAGTCTTTACACGGAGTCAAAGAAATGAGTAAAAGTGAAAGATCGTATTCTATCCTGTACTCTGACCCTGGAAAGGTGTGGGTCTGCTTCAAAGAAAGAAGAAACATACATGTGATCACAATAAAGCTTACCACTATGCAGAGTTCATAATCAATTTCAGCAACGGATTGCAAGCTGCGCTTTGAAGAAAATGCATAGCAGAGGAAAAAGCTCAGAATTTGGAAATATGGGTAAGGAAAACAGTGTTGACACAGTGGAAGTAGTAATGAAAATACCTACTCCAGAACTCACATGCCATGCCCTGCTAGTGAGTTCCTCAACAAGCTACCTGCTCCAGAAAGCCAAAGCCAGATGCTCCCTGTGTGTGGAGTAAGACTACCCAAGTGCTACATAGAAGTGGCCACCTCCTCCATTAACTGCTGTCTGCTCAGTTCCAAAGACAACAGAACACACACTTTATGGTCTAACCAACATAATGTATATCTATTTTTAATACAACTTAAACAGAACTTCTATATAAATCTGGGCTCCATCCAATCCCTCTCCTAAATTTCCTTAGGAGGAATCAAGTAATGGAAGCAAGCAAAACAAGATTATAACCACAAATGACTGTACTTTAAACATGATTATCAATTTTAAGGGACAGAAACATTTGAATATTTTGTAATACCAAACTTAAAAAAAATCTATTATAAAAACTACAACTCATTCCCTTAGAATTTTTAAATGTTGGTGTTATTTCTGCATGGACAGACTAATATATTAAATTAAGACAAGATTTTAAAGATTGGTAAAGTTCTATCATTCTATTTTTAAAAACAAAGATTTAAAAACAAAAACAAAAATACAAGTTAGTTGTTTCATGTTACTTTTCACAACCATTATGTTAAATGTTTTCCTTTCTACAAAAACAGGGTCCTTTATGTCACAACTGAAATTATTACTGCTAGATGTTTAAAATTACACAGACTAGTGTTCAACTGGAACCTGTTGATGGTGACATCTTGAGGTTTTCTGAGTTTCAACCTAAGGTGTGCCAGGTCCTTTCCTAGGACCACACTTGGAGGGGAAGGGGAGGGAAAAGAAATCACAGATCAAGTTCTCAAGATTATTTCACTCTCTTCGTGGCTTTCTGTTTCTTGGTGATCTGTTCAAAATTTCATCCTCCTAATTGAGTGAAAAGAAAGAAATTCACCATAATTAGCACATTTAAAGAAACATAAAAGTTTGCTATATTCTCAATATTAACTAGGCTAAGAGTAACCCATTTGAGGAAAAATCAAGAAAAATGATTATAAGATAATGTACCCAAAACAATGGCAGCTCAAAGGTAGCAGACTAATTCAGTTTAGTCTTTTTGTTCTATAATATATACTTTTCTCAATCTAACTCATAAATATTTTCTTAGAAAGTATCAGGCATTAGGCTTTCACATTATCCTGCTTAATCCCAATCTACTGGCTCACAGGTACATTAGACATATATTTATATATATATATACATATATATATATATTTATTTATTTTAATTTGAGACAGAGTCTATGTTGCCCTCAGTTGAGTGCCATGGGGTTACAGCTCACAGCAACCTCAAACTTGGGCTTAAGCCCAATTCTCTCGCCTCAAATTCCCAGGTAGCACCTGCCACAACACTATTTTCTTGTTGCAGTTGTCATTGTTGGTTAGCTGGCCCGGGCCAGGCTCAAACCTGCCTGCCTCGGTGCATGTGGCTGGTGCCACTACCATTGTGCTATGTGCGCCGAGCCCTTTTCCCCTATTGTAAGGATGAGAAATCTAGGATTCATGAAGATTGAAGACCATCCAAGTAGACTATAAACCTGGCGCTCTCTTTCTACCCTACTACAAGTGCTGAAGATTGGAAATTACCTTACAAAAATACTCCCTTTACTTAAATGTAACCAGCAACTTGCCATATGAGGCTGTCTGGAGGATATACAAAGTATGTGAGACATTGATTCCCTACTTTTTTTTTGAGACAGAGTTCCAAGCTGTCGCCCTGGGTTGAGTGCTGTGGCATCAGCATTTGCCTCAGTATTTCTATTTTTTGCCTCAGTATTTCTATTTTTAGTACAGACGAGGTCTCACTTTTGGTCAGGCTGGTCTTGAACTTGTGAACTCAAACATTCACTCACTTTTGCCAAACAACAATGACTATTACATCAAAGAAATAGCAGGGCATTGTGGCAGACGCCTGTAGTCCCAGCTACTTGGGAGGCTGAGGGAAGAGAATCACTTAAGCCCAAGAGTTTGAGGTTTCTGTGAGCTGAGACATCACTGCACTCTACTGAGGGCAACATAGCGAGACATTGTCTCAAAACGAACAAAAAAGAAAGAATACATCCATTGAAAATATAATCAAGATATAAATAGCATTCATCTTTATCAATAGAAAGGCAGAGTTGTAGTAGCTAGAAATGGAACTTGAACAGAGCTTTGAAGGAGGGACTAAGACACAAACACGGAAGTGCTAAAAAAGGGACCTTGGTATGCAAAGGTTCTCTCTTTCTCATACCACATATATCTTACCACTACAAAACCTAAGTCCAGAACCTCAACTGGTTTTTATATAAGGTGACCAGATGTCCCGCTTTTTAACAATTTGGCCTGCAGTGTTTTAAAAAAAGTCCTGATTTTTGGAAAGAATGCCTGACAAGCTGGGGAACAGCAGGAGAATGGGAAGGGAATATATGGCTGCAGAAAAGGTTAATGTAACTCCATTTGCGAATGAAGAGGTTAACTTCATTTGGAAATGAAAAGGCTAATGTAAACTCCCTACTCCCCTCCTAGGCAAAGTCACCCAGATGGAATGGGTACCAGAAGGAGACTGGCTCCCTCCCTTGCTTCTAGGCAAGGACAATTAGCTCAGAAGGAGCCAAACTGTCTGGAACAAACAAGTAGCCCCCCCCCCCCCAAGGTAACTAGATGTCCCGTTTTTGGCGGGACAGTCCCAATTTCTAACAATTTGTCCCGCATCGTTTTAAAAATGTCTGATTTTTGGAAAGAATGCACAACAAGCTAGGGAACACGGGAGAACAGGAAGGGAATATATGGTTTTCGGCTGCCATGTGAATATTTCACCAGGATATGAGTTTTATATCATTTTTGTTAATTTTATAATGTTAAACTTTAATAATAACAAATAATTGTTGAGAACTGTTCATTGAGAACTGCTTATCAAAGTTTGCATTGTTGTCAGGCCCCGCGCCCCCAATGGTGTCCCACTTTACGAATGTTAAAATCTGGTCACCTTATTTTTATACCCTCTTCCACCAAGCACACTATGTAAGACCACCATATATATCTTGCCTAGGTTATTACAAGAGCCTCCTAACTGGTCTCCCTTATTCTCCATGGTCTACAGAAAACATAGCAGCCACAGTAGTCAGATCCTATCACATCTGACCCCAAAAGGCTGTAATGGCTGTCCATTTCCCTTATCTCTTCCCAGTCTTTGCTCAAATGTTATCCTCTCAATGAGGTCTTACATGGTGTGACCTGCTGTCACCAGCACTTCCAATACCTTTTCCTGGCCTACAGTTCCTAATATACTGTGTCATTTACATCCTTATAATGTCTACCGTTTACTGCTGGTTTCTCCCCACTAGAAGTTAAGCACACCAAAGGCAGGGTATCTTTGTATTGTATTATTTGTTGACAATGCTGAGCACAAAATGGGCACCTAGGATTTGTTAAATGAAGAAATAAATCCACAGAAAACATGGACAAAATGTTCAGAATGCAGTGATTTGTGCAAGAAATACTTTTCAGGGAACAGTGAGAGGAGGTAGATGAGACAGAACTATTAAATAACTTAATAACTTAAAGTTCTCATCTTAGAAAGCATTTTATTATTTGTCCCCTATAATCTTCTGCTTATTCCAGAAAATCATTTTCAGCCCCCCCAAAAAATGCTTTTTGAGATTCAGATATAACTTTAGCCATACAAAATGTATAACTCCCTTCTTTTACCTCTGCTTTAGGTTTTCTCTCTTCCTCCTCTTGACTGACAGCACCACCATCTTCTTCAGCATCACTTTTTTGTTTCTCTTCTAAGACAGAAGTTAAACAACTGAGCGAACCTTACACTTGTTTTTAGTGATCAGACAATTAGCATTAGAATACACCTCTAGATCTAAAAAAAAAAATCATTACTGTAATTTGATTATAGGCACTTGAAAACAACATTCTTTTTCTAATAAAAAAAATTGTATTGGGTGGCACCTGTGGCTCAAAGGAGTAGGGCGCCAGCCCCAAATACTGGAGGTGGTGGGTTCAAACCTAGCCCCAGCCAAAAACTGCAAAAAAAAAAAAAAAAAAAGTATTTACTTAGAAGCATTCAGAATGTCAACAAAACAGCTGCAACTTTTATTTTGCAATTACAGAGTGGTATTCAGTTAACAGACAACAATTATTTCATATAAGCTGCATCAGAGACAATTGAAGATGAAAAAACTACCATCCCCATATATAACAAATTTGTGCTGTGGGCTTGGTGCCCGTGGCTCAAGCAGCTAAGGCGCCAGCCACATACACCTAAGGTGGCGGGTTCGAATCCCCAGCCCGGGCCTGCCAAACAACAATGATGGCTGCAACCAAAAAATGGCCAGGCGTTGTGGCGGGCGCCTGTAGTCCCAGCTACTTGGGAGGCTGAGGCAGGAGACTCGCTTGAGCCCAGGAGTTGGAGGTTGCTGTGAGCTGTAATGCCACGGCACTCTACCCAGGGGGATAGCTTGAGGCTCTGTCTCAAAAAAAAAAAAAAAAAAAATTTGTGCTGTGCACCAACAAGAACCTGCTTTAAATTTCTACACCAATTTACAACCCCCATACTGTACCAGGCAAGGTTAGTGGCTGTTGAAAATACCACCAGGACAGGGCTATCTAAACACACATTCGGTAGTGTGTTAACTATACAAAAAAGACACTGTACAGTTTAAAAACAAATCTTACACAACCTTACATTTCAATTTTTTTTTCATTAAAAGGAGTAGGTTGTATACAGGGGGGTTAAATGCTTTATAGACAAGGAAAAAAACTGTGCTAGAACCAACTTATTCATCATCATCTTCTTCATTTTCCTTCTCTTCCTTCAATTTCTTGCTTTTGTTCATCCTTGACGACTCCCTTTTTGCTGCATCAGGCTTTCCTTTAGCTTGGTATGCAGCAATATCCTTTTTGTATTTTTCCTTCAGCTATGCAGCCTTCTTTTCATAAGGCTGTTTGTCACCTGCAACAGCATTATTCCATATCTCTCCAAGCTTTTTTGCAACATCACCTATGGTTAGGCCGGGATGTTCTCAAAGCTTTGATTTTTGGGTGACACTCAGAACCGAAAAAGAAAAAGGCCCAAGGAGGCCTCTGGGGTGCATTGAGATCTTTCAACTTCTTTTTTGTTTCCCCTTTAGGAGGGATATAGGTTTTCATTTCTCTTTCATAACGGGCCTTGTCCGCCTTTGCCTTATCTTCGAATTTTCCTTTCTCTTTGGCAGACACAGTCTTCCACCTCTCTGGAAACCACCTTTCTTAGAAAACTCTGAGAAGCTGACTGAAGCATCTGGGTGCTTCTTCTTGTGCTCCCCCCCCCCCAAGTTTGCATAAAGAATGCATATGATGACATTTTGCCTCTTGGCTTCTTAGGATCTCCTTTGCCCATGTTTAGTTTTTCCTCAGTGAGGCACAGAGTCACCCAGTGCCCATTCATCTCTCACTTGCCCTGGCACTGTGTCTATGGAGCTCAATGTACTGCAATGGCTGTGAGAGTGGGAGCCAGACGCAGCCTCAGAACAACATCTTAAGGTCTCAACTTAAAGCAGGTTTTTGAGGATTACTTCTTACCAAGTTTCACTTCTGCTTCTTCCTCCTCATCTCCCTTGTCCTTTTCCTCCTCTTTCTCTTCTTCCTCTTCCTTCACATCTGGTTGAGGAGCATCAGTCTTCTTGTACTCCATAGCACTGGGTTGTTTCTGAAAAATTCCCCAAAATACAACAATTTTGGTTACATTGTCATATACTATCATACTATATGCCTATAAGCACAGGCAAAGTTCTGTTCTAGGCTCTAAAGGGGTAAATATACAGAAATAATAAGATGATAATTCCTACCCCAATAGCTTTCTCTTCCTTGAGCATGATTCAAGGTAGAAAGAACAGTAAGAACAAAAGGGTGACTCAGGCAGGGAAAGTGTAGGTCTAGTCAAGTTGACTTGAGGCACAAACACATAGACAGTGGTGGAGAATAAAGTAGGAAAAAGAACTTTGGGTCCAGGTACAAAGTACCTTGAATGCAAGGTAAAGCATAATCCTCACTTAAGAATAGAGAGCCTAGGGCAGCGCCTGTGGTTCAAAGGAGTAGGGCGCTGGCCCCATATGCCGGAGGTGGTAGGTTCAAACCCAGCCCCGGCCAAAAACTGCAAAAAAAGAATAAAGAGCCTAAATAAAATATTCTTTTCTTATTTTTAATGAGTGCACAGAACAAGGGCTAAACAAGAAAAACTAACAATAAGGCTAGGATTCCATATGTATTCTTTGGGGAGGGAAGGGTTGGAGAGGGAGGAACAGATAATAAGAAATCAAAGATCAAATTACAAAGTATAAGAATAGAAATATCTATGCCAAGAGGAAAAGCTGGTTTGTGCCTAGATGGCTGGGTTTTATATTTAAATTTAAATTTTTTTTGAAGAAAGTTGTTCCTAAATATTACAGAGAGATGGGAGTAGAACTCACTGGTAGAACATCTGACTACAAATATTACAGACAGAAATAGAGCAGGATAAATAATACTAGCCACTGAGGGGCTATAAATTCTACTCCCATATGGGCACAATAAATGGTCACTTAGGAGTAGTGAATAAAGTTTTAGAAGTTAATACCAAATGTGACCCAGTTATTACTGAGCTACTACAAAGAAAACTTCAGGCAACATATCTTAGCTCTTTTCATTTATTATTATTATTTTTAGACAGAGTCTCACTATGTTGCCCTTGGTAGAGTGCCAAGGCATCACAGCTCATAGCAACCTCTAACTCTTGGGCTTAAGCAATTCTTTTGCCTCAGGCTCCCAAGTAGCTGGGACTATAGGCACTGGCCACAGTACCTGGCTATTATTTCATTATAGTTGTCATTGTTGTTTAGTAGGCCTGGGCCAGGCTAGAACCCACCTGCCTTGGTGCATGTGGCTGGTGCCCTAACCACTGAGCATGTGCTCCAAGTCATCTATTTTTAATAAAAGAATTCCAAGTGATGCCCCATGCCCACCAAAAAAAATTCATACCTTTCCAGAACAGCAGAAGAGGATAACAAGGAACACAGGCAGAGCTACAGTCAAAATGTAGACCACCCAGAGCCATGGGCGCTCTTCAGCTGCCTCAATCATCTGCCCCACTACACCTGGCTAAAAAACAAGACAAGATTGACTGAAAGTTCAAGTTTTTGACACCAAATACAAGTTGCACAATTTGTTCAACAGTTCAATTATGGCCGAACACTACTTAGGTCCTCCATTTTCAAAGAATTCAGGCCAAGATGTTCATATAACATAAAAAGGAAATTAGAGAAAAGCTTCCATCTTCCTGCTCTCCTTATCATCAAGGTGATTTCACTTTCATTGGTGTCAAAGCTAACATCTTATTCACCTGCAAAATGATGCCTTAACTTTGAAAACCAGTGAATGAAGAATTTCTTCATCTCAGTTATCTTTAGCTCTCTAATTCTCAGCTTGGCCATAGGACCAGTTCTTTGAAAATTTCATATGTTGGGCAAATCAAGATCCAGCTTTAAAGTTTGCAGTAAAATAATACCTAACTGGCAGATCTAGTTAAGATACATACATAGACACAAATAATAAAAAAACTCCACACATAACACAAATAATGACTCTAAAGCCACTATCTTAGACTAATAAAATCATGCCCCAAAACCAATATTTATCTTAGCAGGCATATGGTTATATTTTTTATGCCAATATTCCCAATTAAGGGAAAAGATAAACCCACAAACTTAACCTTTAACAATGGTAACAGTTACCTACAATAACAGATGTAAACACACAAGAAACAAGTAAGCACAAACCTCAGCAGCCCCGTCAGCAGCTTTCTTCAGGCCCCATCCATCATTGGCCCAATCATCAACTACTCTTCGGTCACCAGAGATGATAAAGTTGTCAAAAAAAATATCAGAGGTCATAGACCATAGCTCCAAACCAATAGCAGTAAAAGGAGTCATTTTGAAAGGTTCGAGATCTTCAAAGAAATCTGGATTTGGTATTTTCCTGGGTTTCCAGATTCCCTAGAGAACATTTTAAAAATTTCAAATAATGAATCTACAAAACTTTAAGCAGAACCTACTCTAAAATGAATTCTGCATAATCAACAGAGATAAATGCTAACTTTGTGAAACTTAAATGAGGAAGAAGATAATAAGTGCTACTGATGTTTTACACACTCTACTGCTAAGATTTCTATTTCTGACATCATCCACAATGTGGTCCAAACCAACACCCTGCTGTGTCTGGCCCATTCCCAAAGTCTCCACACTTATCAATTGCTGATGGAAATAGAGGTGAGTTAAAATAAAATACACATGGTCTTGAATAGCAATTCATGTCTGGATTACCTAGACAAATACTTCTTCATACTTCAGACAAGGATGATTACCACAGCACTGACAATCCACATAAATGGCCACTAACAGGAAAACAGCTAAAGGGCAATTTTTGTTTTTTCAAGACAGCCTCACTTTGTTGCCCTTGGTAGAGTGCATGGTGTCATAGCTCACAGCAACCTCAAACTCTTGGGCTCAAGCAATCCTCTTGCCTCAGCCTCCAATGTAGCTAAGACTACAGGTGCTCAGCACCACGCCCACCCATTTTTAGAGACAGGGTCTCACTCTTGCTCAGGATGGTCCAAAATCCTGAACTCAGCTCAAACAATTCACCCATCTTGGCCTCTCAGAGTGCTTAGGATTACAGGTGTAAACCACTGTGCCTGGCCTTAAAGAACAATTTTTTTCTTTTTTTCTTGAGACAAGCGTCTCAAGCTGTCACCCTAGGTAGAGTGCCATGGCTCACAGCAACCTCCAACTCCTGGAGTCAAGTGATCCTCTTGCCTCAGTTTTTCTATTTTTAGGAGAGATGAGTGTCATCCTTTTTGCTCAGGCTGGTCTCAAACCTGTGAGCTCAAGCATTCCCCCCACTGTAGCTTCCCAGAGTGTAGGATTACAGGTGTGAGCCACCTTGCCTGGCCTAAATGGCAGGTTTGTTTTTTTTTTTTTGAGACAAGAGTCTTATTATGTTGCCCTTGGTAGAGTGCTATGGCATCACAGCTCACAGCAACCTCCAACTCTTGGGCTTAAGCGATTCTCTTGCCTCAGCCTCCCAAGTAGCTGGGAATATAGGTGTCTGCCACAACGCCCGGCTATTTTTTTGTTGTAGTTGTTTAGGTGGCCTGGGCCGGGTTCGAACCCACCACCCTCAGTGTATGTGGCTGGCACCATAACCACTGCACTATGGGTACGGAGATACATGTTTGTTTGTTTGTTTTGAGGCACAGTCTCATTATGTTGCCCTCAGTAGAGTACTGTAACATCATAGCTCACAGCAACCTCAAACTCTTGAGCTTAAGCAATTTTCTTGCCTCCGCCTCCCAAGTAGCTAGACTACAAGGTGCCTGCCACAAAACCTGGCTATTTTTTTGTTCCAGTTGTCATTGTTGTTTAACAGGCCTAGGGCAGGTTTGAACATACCAGCCCCGGTTTATGTGGCCAGCAGCCTAACCACTGAGCTATGGGCACTGAGCCTAAAGGGCAGTTTTATAAGTGCTATTTTTATTTTATCTTATTAACTGCACAATTGCCATGGTACCCTAGCCTGGGGCAGTGAGACTCTCGTCTCAAAAATAAAACAAAAACAGAAAAACATATATCTAGTATATGCATATAGACTTAACCCTTTACATTTTCAAGTTTGACTGAGTGAAAACTAATGATTGTAAATAATTTTATAGAATAAAGGATCCAAAGGGGGGTACACTTCCATAGTACACCTGAAATTTCATAAACTCACTACCTATATTCTTACCATCTCACTTGAGCTTCAATCTTTTTACATCTTAAGACACCGAGGCTAAGTGAGCTTATCAGCTATGGTGGAAACACTAGCTCCTATCACAGTCTTCTTATCCACCAGGTCACACATATTGGTAAGCCTGGGATTTGGATTCTGTGGCTAAAGCACCTCTGCCATCTGACAGCCAGGTGCCCAAATCCTAAGTTTTCCATTTCCCTTTTCTTTTTTGTTTCTAAACCTGGTTAGAAAGCAGTTGTGGGGGCTCGGCGCCTATAGCTCAACCGGCTAAGATGCCAGCCACATACACCTAAGGTGGAGGGTTCGAATCCCCAGCCCGGACCCGCTAAAACAACAATGACGGCTGCAACCAAAAAATAGCCGGGCGTTGTGGTGGGCGCCTGTGGTCCCAGCTACTTGGGAGGTGGAGGCAGGAGACTCGCTTGAGCCCAGGAGTTGGAGGTTGCTGTGAGCTGTAATGCCATGGCACTCTACCCAGGGGGACAGCTTGAGGCTCTGTCTCAAAAAAAAAAAAAAAAGAAAGCAAGCAGTTGTGGGCTTGGCGCCTGTGGCTCACGTGGCTGAGGCACCAGCCACATACATCTAAGGTGGCGGGTTCAAATCCAGCCTGGACCCGCCAAACAACAATGATGGCTGCAACCAAAAAATAGCGGGGCATTGTAGAGGGCACCTGTGGTCCCAGCTACTTGGGAGGCTGAGGCAGAAGACTCGCTTGAGCCCAGGAGTTAGAGGTTGCTGTGAGCTGCGACGTCTCAGCACTCTACCCAGGGGGACAGCTTAAGGCTCTGTCTCCAAAAAAAAAAAGAAAGCAGTTGTGAGAACTATTCAATTCAGTTTCTAGGTTTATCTTCCCAACACCTAACCTATTAAGGTTTCTCTCAATTTATGAAATTTACTTTCTGCTCTTCATTTAACAACTTCAATATAATTATCATCCAGGCAGCATCACTGAGACAAAACTTCTATCTAAATACTAACAGATCAATGAAAGCAACTCAATAATCAAGAGGCACAAACCTGGTAGTTAGGATTGTCCATCATCGGAGCCTTCCATTTGCCCTTGTAATTGGGGTTGTCGATCATAGGTCGCTGCCAGACCCCACACCCAGGAGCTGACTCACATTTCGGGTTGGCAATCTGAGGAGCCTCCCATTCTCCATCCATGTCTTCATCCCTTTGGAGATATAAAAGCAACAAATTATAAGTGGATTCTGTAATACAGTACTATGAATAGCTTGCTGGCCCAATGGTTACCAAAACTACTGCCAAAATGACCATCTGCTCTTATTTCTGTATTTCCTGCAATAATTTTTCATAACAGACGTATTTTAAAAAAAAGACGAGGCTTGGTGCCCATAGCACAGTGTCTAGGCCACCAGCCACGTTCACTGAGGCTGGCGGGTTCGAATCCAACCTGGACCAGCTAAACAACTGCAACAAAACAATAGCCAGGCGTTATGGCGGGTGCCTGTATCCCAGCTACTTGGGAGGCTGAGGCAAGAGAATCACTTAAGCCCAAGAGTTGGAGGTTGCTATGAGCTGTGATGCCACTGCACTCTACCGAAGGTGACATAATGAGACTCTGTCTCAAAAAAAAAAAAAAAAAAGATAAAATTGAAATTATAATTAAGTTTTTCAAACTCTTCCCTTAAATTTGGGTACTTGGCCATATTAAAGTATTAAATTTAACTTCAATTAAAAAAGAAGATAATTTAAAAAGTTATCCAAAGCTCTTACCAATCCTCTGGCTTCTCTGCATCTGGATCAGATATATATTCAGGCTCATCATCTAACCAGCCTTCAGGTTTTGTGGCTTCTTCATCTGGAATCTTAGCAGGGGCATCTTCATCCCTTAGACACAAAAGAAAAATCTAGCTATAATACTGACCAGAGAATCAAAGAGTACTTCTACTCTGTGTATCTGAAACAGAGCATTCTAAAAATATCTAAGACCTTATAATCCCAGCATTCTGGGAGGCCCAGGAAGGAAGATCACCTGAGGCCAGGAGTTTGAGACCAACCTGGGCAACACAGCATAGGAGATGCCATCTCTAAAAAAAAAAAAAAAAAAGCCCTGGCACATGCCTATAGTCCTAGCTTCTTCAGAGGCTGAGGCAGGAAGATCCCTGGAGCTCCAGAGTTCCAGGCAGCAGTGAGCTATGACCATACCACTATACTCCAGCCTGGGAGACAACCGAGTGCTGTTCAAAAAAGATTTAGGTCATGCTCTGCCTTTGCGTGTTGTGGTGGCAGCAGATGCGGCCTTGACATATAGAATGATGCCAGCAAGTTGTGGACCTGTATGTGTAACCAGCAACCATATGAATGGTACCAAGGACCACACATCCATCCAGATCAACATAGCTGAGGTTTAACAGATTTAATGGCCAGTTTAAAACCTACGTTACCAGCCAGGTTTGGTAGCTCACACCTGTAATCCTAGCACTTTGGGAGGCCAAGGCAGGTGAATTCTCTGAGCTCAAGAGTTCAAGACCAACTTGAGCAAGAGGGAGACCCTGTCTCTACTTAAAAAAATAGAAAAAACTAGACAAGCATTGTGACACATGCCTGTAGTCCCAGCAACTGAGGGAGCTGAGGCAATAGGATCGCTTGAGCCCAGGAGTTTGAGGTTGTTGTAAGCTATAAGGATGCCACAGCACTCTTTCCTGGGTGACAGAGACTCTGTCCCAAAAAAAAAAAAAAAAAAAAAAAAAACAACCTCATGCATGTCAAGCTCATTCCTGCTCCTTTATTTCTGCATACTATGTTCTTCAATGAGGAACATCCTCTGCCATCTTCACCACTTAATTAATCTCATTTTGCTTTTAAGTCTCACTTTAATGTACTCTGATCCAAGAAACCATGCCCAGGTTAGACACACCTGGTGCTCTGGTCCCCTGGTAGTACCTTTTGTAGACCCTTACCATAGTACATGGTGATTTTACTTACCTGCCTCACAACTGGACTCTGAGCTCTGGGTAGGCAGATGGTAGTGTGTGTCCTGTGCCTTTGTATTTAACTGCCTAACACATAGCAGAGATCTCAAAGTATTGTTATAAATAGGAAAAAGGTTATTTTTCAAATTAGAATTTCAGGACTTGAGCTTTAAATGTGAATTCAAAGAAGCACTAGAATGGCCAGACTATGAGACCTGAGGTTCTGCCACAAACTGTCATCACAGGCAAGCTGCATAACCAATTTCAGCATTCTGTGGTTTGTAAAATGCTTCTTTCCTGCTATAGCAATCTACATTTTTCCTACAGTTTAGACTGCATCATAGATTGCTGAAATTATCAGATCTTACTCAACCAACATTTGGTTGCTCAAGCCATGTGGAATATACAAAATCCTCCTATACCCAAAGACAGGCCTCCAAGACTCACCAGTCATCTGGCTTGACAGCATCAGGATCTGGAATTTTTGGTCTTTCATCCCAATCCTCAGGCTTCCGGTCTTCTGGGTCCTCAATTTCACGTGAAGGATTTACAGCAGGAGTCATGTCATTTAGCAGATTTCCACTGTTTACAACAGACTGGTCAACTAATATTTCAAAAGTATTATCTGGATTCAAAACTGAAAGAAAAATTAAATGCTATTAAAAATAGTTAATTAGGCTTGGTACCCACAGCTCAGTGGTTAGGGTGCTGGCCACAGGCACAGGGGCTAGTGGGTTTGAACCGGCCCAGGCCTGCTAAACAATAGCCGGGCATTGTGGCAGGCACCTGTAGTCCCAGCTACTTGGGAGGCTGAGGCAAGAGAATTGCTTAAGTCCAAGAGTTGGAGGTTGCTGTGAGCTGTGATGCCACAGCACTCTATCAAGGGCAACATAGTGAGACTTTCTCAAAAAAATAAAATAAATAAAAATGCAAAAAAATTAAAAAATAAAAAGTTAATTAACTACTCGCTCCCAACTTTCTCCTTACCATAATAAAAAAGGTCAAGACTTCTCATAGGAAGCAGCAACATGGAAACACAGAACACAGACCATAAGTACTGGGGTCACAATAGGTTCATCAAGCCAGGCGTTAGAGACCTTGGGCAACTGAACTCCCCACTTTTCCTTTACTTTTTCTTTTTTAAAAGAACACCTTTGAACCCCTTTATTATTATCATTATTATTATTAGGACAGAGTTTCACTTTGTTGCCCTCAGTAGAGTGTGAACCCCTTTTCCTTATCTGAAAAATTAAGTACTAGTGGGGTAGCTCCTATGTCTCAGCAGGTAGGGCGCCAGCCCCCATATACCAAGGGTGGTAGGTTCAAACCCAGCCCCAGTCAAACTGCAACCAAAAAATAGCTGGGCGTTGTGGCTGGCGCCTGTAGTCCCAGCTACTCGGGAGGCTGAGGCAAGAGAATCGCCTAAGCACAGGAGTTGGAGGTTGCTATGAGCTGTGACACCATGGCACTCTACTGAGGGCAACAAAGTGAAACTATCTTTACAAAAAAATAAAATTAAATTAAGTACCAGTACTAGTTCCTTAGGTTTCTAGAAATTACAACAAAAGACAGTTAAAAATTTATAATACCAAAAGACCACATTTATAGACCCTAAGAACATCAAAAGCTTACAAAAATTAACATAATTGTTAGTCTGAAACAAATGATTATGCACCAGTCAGCAGGCAAGTCATTTATTATAACCTCCCAGTAGAAAATGCCCATTTCAAAAAAAAAAAAAAGAAAATGCCCATTTCTTCATTTTTAATAGACCTGGTATTACCACCATGTATGTTGCCAAAATTTCTAATTATCCAAACATTTTATTTATGAAAACACGTTTGTTCACTCATAGTTGTACTTCTGAAGTCCAATAGCCAATGAAAACATAATTTTAAATCCATAAAATCATCTTAAGTGTAATTTTTACTACAGCCTGGATCCTACACCAAAATGTCTAAATAGGTAGCTAACCAAGTTACAGCATATCCAGACAATGGGACACTATGCTGCTGTTATCAATGATAGTGAAGATATATTCTTTTGAAGGAAAACTTTCACTCTTGTGCAGTCAAGAAGGTTAGATACATGGACAAATATACATCACAATGTTAACATTTCAGACACTTTTATCTTTTGTATTTTTTCATTGATATATCATAGTGATACATATTTTGGGAGTACTTATGATATTTTTATACATGTATACAATGTGTAATGACCAAATCAGGAATAATATCTATCACCTCAAATATAATAGAACCTGTGTATAAAGAGAGGGACTGTAACAAACTGGTCAACATACAGAAGTGGTTAACATAAGGAACTAGGCCTGCTGTACTGATACATACATGTGGTGCATGTCCAGTGTCTGAAAATTAGGGCAACTTCAGGAGGTGGTCAATGTAGGGAGATAGTCAATTATGGAGGTTCTACTATACATTGTTTAGAAAAAGAGGCATGTGTATAAATGATAACAAACCAGCAAGAAAGGCTTCATTAGAAACGAACAAAAAAAAACCCCTTCTAATGTCCAAATGATTAAACTCAATTGTCCAGGTAGTACTGGAACATTCAAAGCAAGTTCAACTAAAAGATAATTTTGAAAGTTTGCAAATGTATTTCTACTGTATATCCTATTATTCAACATTTTATCAACAAGAAAATATAAAAAAGGAAGAAATGAGGGAGATCAGCAGACAAACTCTGTGTGGGACATAAAAGCCTTTTTTTTTTTTTTTTCCCCAGACAGGAGCCTCAAGTTGTCCCCCTGGGTAGAGTGCCGTGGCATCTCAGCTCACAGCAACCTCCAACTCCTGGGCTCAAGCGAGTCTTCTGCCTGCCTCCCAAGTAGCTGG